GGGCTAAACTCGGGGACTGGAGCCCTCTCTGGGCTAAACTCGGGGATTAGAGCCCTCTCTAGGCTAAACTCGGGGACTGGAGCCCTCTCTGGGCTAAACTCGGGGACTGGAGCCCTCTCTAGGCTAAACTCTAGAACTGGGTCTCTCTCTCTCTGCTGGACTGGGAAACGGGAGCCCACTCAGGGCTGGACGGGACCAGCAGGGACGAAGGAGAGAGGAGAGAGGAGAGGAGAGACTGTTTCCCAGTCTATAAGGTCCCCCTCGAAGTGCAGCAGTCCCAGATGTATAATCAGCTCACCCTCAGCTGCAGTGCAGTGGGCGGAGCTCCACTCCGCGCTCTCTCTGTCCGTGGCATTCTCCCTTGTGGCAGCTCTGTTGCTGGCTCTCACACCTTGACTGACGTCACTTGCAGCTCCGGCTCCACGACTATCCATTGCTCTGTCGCTCCATGCAGCAACGGGCTCTCCGTCAGTGGTGGGCTCGGGTATGCGTCATAACTACTCCAAACTGGCGTCATAGAACACACAGAGCACGTCGTCCGGGAAGCTGGAGAGGTTGGCGAGCACCAGGAACAGTCTGGTATGGCCCTCGAGCGATCTCTCCCCCTGCTCCAGCCGGAGGAGGAGGTATTCCGGATGAAGGAGGGGATCCATGGACAATGGAAACAAAAAACATTGAGTAAAAATTAGAAACAAAAACAGAGGGAACACACAAAGGTAACTGTTTGTAGGTCGGGTCTTCAGTCACGGCTGTGCCGGAGGGAAGGAGCACAGGAGACGCGGAGAAGTGTTACACAGTCTTTTAATCAACAATCACAGAGGTAAATCTACAACAGGAACGAGGAATGACACACGAACATAACCAGTAGACCCGACAAACACTAACTGAACGGACTGGGGCTTATAAACACAGGATAACGAGGGACTAATCGAGGGGACTAAGGAGAAACACCTGGAATCAAATTAACACAATCAACAAGAGGGAGAAACTGGGTCAAGGGGAGCAAAACGCACACAAACAGTCCATGGGCGTGACAGATACATTTTATTCAGGATTTTTTGTTGATGAATAGAAATAGAAAACAAGGTCTTTAATGTCACTTTTGATCAATTTGATGTATGCTTGCAGAATAAAAGTGTTAATTTATTTTTAAAAAATTACTAATCCCAAGCTAGCACTGCCCATTTGTGATAAAATGACATGACATTTATGTTAATAGCAGATGGAAACATGATAAAATTATTATTTGTCAATAGTCCAAATTGTGCTCTTCACACCCATTGGCTCCAAAATATGATTTGAAGTCTAATGTATGTTGTGCTTGGAAAGCGACAGCTGATTTCGAACATATGTTTCATTATGGATCAGTTTTGCTATTGGGTTTATCTGAGGTAAAGATTTGCTCACTCCCATGCTCGCTTTCCATTTAGCAACTGTGTAGGATGCCCAATTAACACTGTGATTCGGTTAACCTCTTGACTGATTAAATTCCTGTGAATATTTTGTCTTTGTAATTATAAACCAGAATATTTTATATTAATTGAGTTTGTTTTATAAAATCAAACAGGTAAGTTGTCCGCCTGGTTTCAGAATGTGATATAATCATGCTGCCTTTCCATTGATTCTCTGTCAGACCTATATGTGTACATTTAATTCGGTTTGATAGTGCTGAATAGCCCACTGTGCATTTATATCAAGGAGCAAAAGTGCAGCGTTTAGATTGTAATCTAATTAATTTATATGCAGTTTTGCAGTTCCAGCTGTTTTTGTAATGCACGGTTTTGAATGCCCATTTTCCAGCCTCTCTTACCCTCAGGCTTTTCTACTGTATCTTTAAACATTGCCTGTAGCTCAAATAGTAAAGCGTTAGCAATGCCAAGTTCATGGGTTTGATTCCCAGGAAATGCTAAAAAAAAAAAGAAAAAAGATGCATATACAGAAATTACAGAGTTTAAACAGCAGTTTGAATGTACTCATACAAAAAAAAAAAATTCACTCAATTTACTAATATACTTTGTATTTATATCAAGGAGCAAAAGTGTAGCGTTTAGATTGTCAATCAATTGATTTATATGCAGTTTTGCAGTTCTTGTAATGCAAGCCACAGTTTTGAATGGCCATTTTCCAGCCTCTCTTACCTCAGGATTTTCTACTGTACCATTTTTTAATTCACACAATTCACTCATATAATTTGAATAGGTACAAGTTTGGGGTCAGTAAGATTTTTTAATGTTTTTTATGCTCACCAAGGCTGCATTTATTTGATAAAAAAGTACAGGAAAAACAGTAATATTGTGAAATACTGTTACAATTTAAAATACCTGTTTTCTGTTTTTAATATATTTTAAAACATTATGTATGTGATGGCAAAGCTGGATTTTCAGCAGTTATTATTCCAGTCTTCAGAGTCCTTCAGAAATCAATTTAATATGCTGATTTTCTGGTCAAGAAACATTTCTTATTATTATCAG